AAATGTGTGCTATAGTAAGCCATATTTTTGTGTAATTTGTTACACAGTAATAGGAAACAAATGGACATTTTTATATGTACCTGCCTATTTGCCTTTGATCTTTATTTTTTGTGTGAACTTTAATTGCATGTTGTTTTTGTTTAGGCCGAAGGACTTTTTTTTTTTTAAGTATTTCTTGTAAGGGCAGGTTTGAGAGCAACAAATCCTCTTCATTGATCTGGGAACATCTTTATTTCACCATCATTTTTGAAGGACCGTTTTGCTGGATATAAAATTCTTGGTTGAGAGCTGTTTGTGTTCAGCAATTAGACTATGTCATCCCGCTGCCTTATGAAAAAATTCAGCTGTTACAATGCTCAACATTTGCATCATCAGAGAGATGCAAATTAAAAGGATTATGAGGTATCATATCACACCTGCCAAATTGGCTGCCACCAACAAATCCTCAAACAAGTGCTGGCAAGGATGTGGAAAAAAGGGGACTCTAGTACACTGCTGGTAGGAATACAGACTGCTGCAGCTACTATGATAAACAATATGGTGTTTCCTCAAAAAAATTAAAAATTGAGCTGCTATTTGACCCAGGGATCCCACTTCTAGGAATATACCCTAAGAAGACTGAAACACCCATCAGGAAGAATATATGCACCCCTATGTTCATAGCAGCACTATTTACAATAGCTAAGATTTGCAAATAGCCCAAGTGTCCATCAGTAGACGAGTGGATAAAAAGGCTGTGGTACATATACACAATGGAGTACTATGCAGCTGTAAGAAAGAAAGATCTTTTATCCTTTGAGACGACACGGAGGGACCTGGAGAGTAATAGGCTGAGCAAAATAAGCCAGTCAGAGAAAGACAAGGACCACACGATCTCACTTAGTTATAAAATATAGTGAACAATATAAGCCAACGATCAAAATAGATCCAGAGTCATGAAAGTAGGGAACAGACTGACAAACCTCAGAGGGAAAGGTGATGGGGGGAGGGGGGAGGAAGAGATAAACCAGGAATTTATTTGCATATATGGATAACGAATGGACACAGGTAACAGTGTGGGGAAGGCAGGAAGGGTGGGAGCAGGAAAGAGGGGAGCAATGGGGGAAAAAAGGAGGAACATCTGTAATACTTTCAACAATAAAGATAAAAAAAAAATCAGCTGTTACTCTTATTGAGCAACCCTTGTACAAATGAGTTACTTCTCTAGGTACTTTCAAGATTTTCTCTTTCCACAGTCTGACTATTTTGTGTCCAGATGAGTTTATCCTACTTGGAGATCACTGAGCTTCTCAGATATGTCATTTACTGATGATCATCAAATGTAGGAAGTTTTGGACCATGCTTCCTGCAAATATTTTTTCTGCCTCTTTCTCTCCAACCTGTCCCCTCTTTTCTGGATCTCCCGTTGTGCTTTATGCACATGTCGTATGCCTGACGTGTCCCATTGGTCTACGGGGCTCTGTTCATTACTTTAAAATTCTTCTTTTCTTCTATATGTTCTTCAGACTAGATAATGTCTATTGATGAATGTTCAAGGTCACTCATCCCATCTTCGGCTCAAACCTGCTATTAACCACTCTAGTACTTTTCAACTCTACATTCAGATTTGGGATATATATATATATATATATATATATATATATATCTCCATTCTATCTCTCTATTGATCGTCTCTATTTGACGAGTCAGTGACGTCACATTTTTCTGTAATCCTTTGACCCTTGGCTGCCTTAGTTCTTTGAACACGTGTATAATAGCTGCTCTGACGTTTTGTTCTTTGTGCCGGTGCAGGGCCTTGCCCTAGCAACACCAAACACCACTGATCACAGAGCACCGTAACGAAAATAACGAGAAGTCTGAGCTGTCCTGAGAAGCACCGAAGTATGACACAGAGACACCAAGTGCGCCGATGCTACTGGAAAGATGCTGACAGACCTGCCCACGCAGGGTTGCCACGAACCTTCAATTTGTAAAAAAACAACAACCCACAATATTTGCACAGTGCAATAAAATGAGGTGTGCCTATTCTTCATATACATATACATGTGCACACGCGTGTGTGTGTATAAAGATATACATATACATATATACACTGGTTGATCTAAGGATGGAAATAGACACAATAAACTGGTCAAAAACATTGCCAGGATGTGTCCGGGGTTCTGTTATGTGCACCATTTGTGCTTAAAGCTCAGAGGCTTTGGACATGACAAATCCCCAAGGCAGGCAAGTCTGAGTTTACACAATCTGTGCACAGTGAACTGCACCCTGGCTCGTGACTCACGTGAGGACCCCCTAAAGCCCTGGAAAGCACCCGCGCAGACAGCGAATCACAGGCCCTGCGGGGTCTGCAAAGCGGCGCCGCCTTGTGCTGCGAGTACGAACTAGAACAGGCGAGCACCAGCGACGGAGGGAAAGCTCTAGAAAAACACCTAAAACCGCTCATCACTCACCAGAGCAGAGCTGGAAAGTGAGACAGGATAATGTTTCCAAACAGGGTTTCCCCGGGACGGACTACTTTTTCATGAATGGGAAAACAAAACAAAACAAAAACAAACAGCATTACCTAGTAACTCCTGTCAACACGGATGACACATTCGGCTTTTCTGCTACACTTAGAAAACAATTGTGTGTAATGGTAGCCACAGTCTAATTATGCAACCTTCTCCCTACAATCTGGGCACTTGAGAACCAGTCCGTTTTTAAAGTCACATGTAACGAGGGGTAAAATTTTCGTACAGAAAAACAATTTCTGCCTTCAAGGTGCTTCCTTGGAAGGAATTTATAGAGGGTGATTTGCAAGTTCCCCATTTCTTATGGTCTAACAGCCAATGCTGAACTGCTTTCCATAAACGCTGCAAAAAACTCGTATAACCAGTGCTGGTTTCATCACATTGGGGATTATCATTTGCAAAACCTTTCATTTTTGAAAAGCTGAAAATAATGACTCGCCTCTCGGCTGTGACTTCTTTTCTTTCATCAATCCCCACCGTCTGCCCACTTGTTCCATGTGTCTCGCCGAGGGGACTTTTTGACTGGATCGGCCTTCAAGTCAAAGTCGCTCATTCGCTCAACGAAACCAGATTTTTCTCATAGCAGCAGCAGCAGGTGTGGCTCCGCACAGCCGCTCGCTGACCGGGCCTCCCTCTGTGGTCACATCACCTCATCACCATCAGCTCTGAGAGCGCCCCCTGGTGGTGTGCCGTGCAGACGCATAGATTTAACAGTGGCTGAGACCTGGTCCTTTAATATCCTCGAGATAAAGACCTTCTCGTCGGGCGCGTGGGTCGTATTAAACATCCACGTCCTGGTTTTGTTTTTCTTTATTGCATTGGGCTAACTCTCCTCTCTGCTCATTCAATAGACGGTAGCTCTTTTCTTCCTTATCCCTCGGGCCCCAAAGCTCAGTTTTTCTTCATTTCTTTCACTTTTCCCTCATACCCACTCTATCAGCAAATCCCGCTGGCTCCACTCTCGAAATGTGTGCAGTACCTTACATTTCTCAGCACACCCAAGGCAGTGTGGACCGTCCAGTGCTCGGACCCTATCCCAGCTCTTCGTCTCTCTCAGATCTTCCTCCTGGCCCACCTCCCTCCCTCACTGGCTGCGGACTGAGCTTCTCCGGTGTTCGGGTACAACAGGGTATGAGCAGGAGGTAGGGAGTGATGGAGGATGGTACAAAGGAAGTACAGCCCGGCCAGTGTGGCTCAGTGGTTGAGCGTCGACCCTGCACCAAGAGGTTGCTGGTTCGATGCCCAGTCAGGGCACATGCCCAGGTTGTGGGCCTGATCCCCAGTGGGGGGCATGCAGGAGGCGGCCAATCGATGTTCTCTCTCATCGATGTTTCTCTCTCTCTCTCCCTTCTTCTCTCTCTCTAATATCAATAAAGTGAAAAGTACAAGCCAGGGGATGGCTGGGTTGTGCCCACAGGCAACTATTTCGAGAATCTAGTTCCTACTGCAGGGGCCGTAGGACGTGAGCCCGCCAGTCTGAGGGTCAGCACTGTCCTGCAATCAGTCCAGGCCACCAGCCTTCACATCCGTCTTCACAAAATTCACACGACCCTCCCGAGAGCCGCGAGCCTTCAAACATTTGCTGGATGTCAAGTAAGTTTGAAGATCTGACTAGCTTTGTAACAAAGTACACTTTAGAAATGAAAACAAATGTTGTTAACGAGCAATTCAGGCCCTCGAATGGTAGGTGTGGAACCCGAGCCCCCGCCAAGCTACTCGACAAAGACAATGTGGGTGCAAACGATCGAGTACATATACATCTATCTTTAGGAAAATAAAGTAAGTCGAAATTCAACTGGAGAAAAAAAATGTATCTTAGTTCAGGACAATTACTAGTTGTTATTCATCGTGGGAATTATTATGGTCATGGACGGTTTTCGAAGCAAAAGCATAAAATGTCAAATGTGTTTCCCAACCACATATATTTATACAGAATTAGACCTCAGATAATCAATCTTCTTGTAGGATTCTTAGGAATGAGGTACAATTCTGAGAAAGGCCAGTAAGTGCTCTAAATAAACCAGTAATACTAGCATCCAAAAAAAATTTTAAAGGAGGTTAAATTCAAAGCATAGGGTATTACCAGGCCATGCCGGTTAAAGGGACCTGTTCGAGCATCACCCACAGGCACACATTGAGTTCCCTAGCTGGGGTACACCCCGTCACTTCTCCTTTAAAGCATCGGGACACCGTGAAGAAGGGTTGCTTTTAGTGCAAATAATCTGGACGCACCTGGCTTGTATAAATTATAGTTACAGGGGAAAGACACACATTCACCAAACTGATCTTCCCACCTGGTCGGACACAAGACTCCGCAGAGTCGTAACAAATCTTCACGCAGCAGAGAAAGAATATGATGGTGCACGTTAACCAAAGGGAGGCGCTACGGTGATATACACGTGCACACGGGATGTGTTAAGTGCAATTTCACTTTAAGATTCTGCTCGGGGCAGGGGAGGGAAAAAGATTTGCTTCTGGTCAACTCACCTCCGTGTTCCAGAAACACTCGGACGCATCTCTCCTTCCCTCTCGCTGCCGAGAAATGGAGCAGGGTCCAGCCGTTGGCGTCCCGGCCATTCGGAGAATAGCCCTGTTCCAGCATCTTCCGTACTGTGTGGACATCCCCGGCAGCCACCGCGGCCTGAATCTGCAATTCCTCCTGGAGCTCAGGGTTCCTTCGACAGTGGTGGTGTAACATCCTAGCTGAGTCCCCCTTTCACCAAGGATTCATTAGGTCGCAGGGGTCAGCCTGCAGGGGTCAGCAGAACACACGGCAGGGGGGTCATGAAACACGACAGACTTTTCCTTTGCTAAAGCACAGGTACCTTAGCAATGGCAGTTCAAACCTCCACACACACACACACACACACACACACACACACACACGTGATGAGCAAAACTTTCAGTGATTTCCCGAAGATGATGAAAGATTTCAAAAAGAAAGACAGTGGCTGAAACAGGAAATTTCTTCGCAGCCTTTTGAAAGCTCAGAGCCAATCAACCTCTGAACGGAACAGCGTGATTCTGGGTCAAACAGAAGGGGACGCTGGGCAGCTAGAAAACGGGACTAAGAGGGGTCAGATGGGTACCTGTCTTAGGAGGAGATCTGACTTAGGGTCCATTCGAGGATTCGATCACAAATCAGTGAGTAAACACAACATCTCAAACAGATGATTCACAGACCACAAAGACTGAAGACCTTTCACTATGAGAAGCCGTTAAGAAAGGAAAAAAGCACAAAAACACCTTTAAGCTTGTTTCCTAAAGTATTTTAACAAGATTGTATTTTGGCTCCAAAAGGTGGAGGGCTGTGTGTGGGGCAGGAACATGGGTGGGGTAAAGTGAATGAGGGCAACAGGTGTGGGTTATATTGACTCTCCTCGTTTATGTTCGTATTCCTACTCGCTCCACTTTGTGTTATTTGACGCACGATCTCTACTGGTCCTCTTCCTGCCATATCCTGGTTTTTGTTGTTGTTAATCCTCACCCAAGGATATTTTTCCATTGTTTTTTTTAGAGAGAGTGGAAAGGAGGGAGGGAGAGAAAGAGAGAAACATTGATGTGAGAGGGACAGACAGAGACATCGATTGGTTGCCCCTCGCACGACCCCGACGGGGGCCAGGGCTCAAATCGGGAATCGACCTGAGACTCTCGCTAACCACTGAGCGAGACCACCAGGCTCCACCAGACCTTTTACACGTTTCCTAGTTCAGTTTTTCAGAAGTTTTACTCTATAAATAATCCAAATACCAGGATCATACAAAATCCTTTAAAAACCACAAGCATCTAAACAACCTGTTTATTAACCACATGAAAAAAATATATATTTTAAAGGAAAAGTCGTATGCTGATCTCCCACACTCTCTAATAGGTCACAAATGTGACTCAGACTCAGCAGAGAATGAGAAATCGACAAAGTCCAAACCGAATCGGTGAGAAGCTGTATCTTACAATCGTGTGTACAAAAATGTGTGCATTTTTAAGCTGTTGAAAGCACACAGAAACTTAAACTAACGTTCTTATAGGAAGCCACTTCGCCTGGGCTAATTTTAAGGAATAGATTAGACTCATCTCCTAATTAGTAGGCTTCCATATCTAAAAATAAACTATGTGATGAAGTTCTTTAAAGACATTTTGGTCTCTTCCGTAGGCTAGACATCGTGGGCTAATTGTGTTACCAATAATGATTTATCTTTAACACTTCTCATTACAGATTGTGCAAAGGCAAACTTGAGCCCAACTGAGTCCACATTATCACAGCATAAGAGTATAATCAAATTTCCTATGTTATTTTATACACAGAAAACGGTTACTACAAATTCGTAAGTATCGCTACTAAGTAATGCCATTTAAAAATATCAGGCTACTTCCACAAAGAACTATTTCCTCAGAAAAACGGGGAAATGAGGAATTTCGAGATGATGTTTTCTTAATAAACATGATTTCCCCTCCATCTCTTCACCTAATTCCTTTTTTCAATTGACACTAAAATCAAGTCTCTTGTTTTAGAAATTTTAAAACTGACAATCCTTTATGAATAGGTTTTCACCCACTATTAGCATTTTAAGAGACGCTGAAGACCATTAGAAGGAATTAATGGGAATCACTAATCTGTGCTCCAAACAACCATCTTTGCCCTGGCTGATTTGGTTCAGCGGTTAGATCACTGGCCCCGGAACAAAGGGTCTTGGGTTCAATTACTGGTCAAGGGCACGTACCTGGGTTGCAGGTTTGATCCTCAGCCGTGATGGTCGTGCAGGAGGCAATCAATAGATGTCTCTCTCATATCAATGTTTCTCTCTCCCTCTGCCTCCCTCCCTCCCTCCCTTCCTCCCTCCCTCTCTTCCATTCTATCTAAAAAAAATTCAATGGAAAAATATCCTCAGGTGAGGATTAGCAAGAAACAAACAAAAAATATCTTTAACAGATTTTTAAAAATTGATGATTATTTTGGCACTTAAATGAGGACTACTCTGCAAAAAAAAAAGTCAAAAAACATCAAAAGAAACCTGGATTTTCTTGTAGCAAGTGCTGCATTTGGTATACATGAGCTGATTTGAGGGAGAAAAGCAGAAACTAAAGGAGTCTCCCCCAGAAAAGCGCCGATGACCAGTGAGCTTCCGTCCCTTACCTTCCGGAAGAATGTCCTTTGTCCTGACAGGTGACTTGCCTAACAACCATCGTGTGCGCGCAGCATCGTGGGAGGGGCTCGGAGTGTGTTCCGATCACAGCACCGATCAGCTTTCTTAACCTGAAAACAAATAACAGCCATGGGGAAACTCCTAAAAACAACAGAGAGGCACAGCTGCCTGCATAGTCAGCCATCTGATGCACTTAAACTTCAGCACTTTACAGAGCAGAGCTCGGGTCAAGCCTTAGAGAAAAGGACCTTGAGATCTACATTCGACTCCAGGGCGCTGTAAAATAATTTTTCAAGAAAAATTTTCCCCCCTAAAAAGGCAGGTGTGTTTTGGTTTTTTTTTTTGAAGAAGAAAATAATAAATCAAACATTTGGAATAGGGATGCAAACAAAGATTCTTCTTTTCGCTCTATTCAGAATATATTTTCAGATTTGCTTTAATGAAATTACTTTTTTAAGTCCTCACCCGAGGATATGTTTTTTATTGATTTTAGGAGGACTGAAAAGGGTGGTGGGGATGGAGGGAGTAGATAGAAGGGGAGGGAGGGAGAGAGAGAGAGAGAGAGAGAGAGAGGTGTGAGAGAGAAACATCAATCAGTTGCCTCCCATGTGCCCCCGACTGAGATCAAACTCATAACCCAGGTCTGTGAACTGACCGGGAAGAGCACCTGAGACTTTTTGGTGTACTGGATGATGCTCCAACCAACTGACCCACCCGGCTGAGGCTGAATTACTTCTTAACTGACACCGTTAGTCACTTGTTTTTCCAAACAGGACTAAAATGAGAAAACGTGTGCAGTCAATACAGTAGGTGGCCAGAGCCAAAATGGAATCTATGACAGCTACAAGGAGCTCATGTCTTTAAATGTCAGACGTCTAAAAGGCATCATGTTAATCATTTTGAAACTGTTATTCCTTTATGCTTACACCAAAGTCGGTGAAAGATGAACAACAGTCTTGCCAGCTTCCTTACATGAATTCTGAAAAAAATTCTCGCTATTAACTAAAAGAAACGGGATCTTTGTTCACGTCAATCAAATACTAGGTCTGTGGATTGCACTAAGGTTAAGAACACACCAACTGACACTTGGCACCAGAATGACTCTCATTGGGAGAACTGCCACCCCATCCCTGTGGGGTGAGTGTGCTAAAATCCTCTGTCACCTCAAGGAAAGGCTGGGCCACCTGATGGAGAAACATGGCAGGCACCAATGCTGTTAGCCGCCCATCAGGATTGCCAACCAATCCAAATTAGTCTCATCCACTTGGACCCTTTCCTCTGTCCACACCTTATTTTTCCGGGTTAAACGTCTCCAAGGAAGACCCAGGACTTTGCCAACATGTACGTGGAAATGATATTTGTTTTAAAACTGTGCCCACTGCTTCCAAATAAATCAATGAGACGTGAGCAGAACGACTCCTACAAGGAGTTGTAAAAAAAGACAGAACTATTCTTACACTAATGCTGATTCTAACACTGGGGCAGGAAATATACAAGGTGAGGCTCCAGCATCTTAGTGACAAACAGGAAGTGCTGAAAAAAAATTGCAATGATGGGGGATGTCAGAGGGAGACAGGGGCCAACTAAAGAGCTCTCAACAGCCCAGATGGAGCCATGTGAACAAGATCAAGTACCATTGGATTCTAACCCTAAGCACAGAATAAATAACCGATTAAATTAATAAACAAAGGTTGGGAGGGGGATCTCCTGCGCAAAACTCCAAATAATGTGTGTAGATTCTCCTCTCTCGAGAAGGTATAGTATAACCTTAAGTGTGGGCCAGGCATACATGCTGACTTCCTTCCAAAGAGGACAGTAAGGAAGAGGGAGTGGGGGACAACGAAAAAACACGCTTCAGCCAGGTGATCATGGTTAATATCCACAGTGCCGCCCTGGCCGGTTTGGCTCAGCGGTTAGAGCATCGGCCTGCGGTCCGGAGAGACCCGGGTTCGGTTCCCGCTGAGGGCATGTACCTCGGTTGCAGTTTGTCCCCGGCCCTGGTTGGTCGTGCAGGTGGCAGTCACTCGATGTGTCTCTTTCACGTCGATGTTTCTCTCTCTCTCTCTCTCTTCCTCTCTCTCTCTCTTCCTCTCTCTCCCTCCCACTCTATCTGTGCAAAAAATGGAAAAATGTCCTCGGGTGAGGATAAAAAAATATATATATATATATCCACAGTGCCAACTTACGTTGTCGGTAGGGTAGGGTAGGGTGGAATATGTTAGAACCCCAGTCTAGTCAGGAGAAAAACATCCAATTGCAGCTGAGAGATATTCTACAAAATACCTGACCAATACTACCCAAAATGTCAAGGTCGTCAAAAAGAAGAAAGTGTGAGAATCTGTCCCAGCCAAGAGCAGCCTACGGAGACAAGATGACTACATGGAATGTGGTGTCCCGGATGGGATCCTGGGACAGAAAAAGGGTGTTAGGTGGAATCTAGGGAAATCTACATACAGCGTGGACTTTTGTTAATCATAGTGTTCGTTACTGGCTCACTAATTGTGTCAAATGTATCTATTAATGTCAGACGTTAACTGGAACAATTGGGTGTGGAGCATGTGAACATTCTGTACTTTTTGTAAGTTTTCTGTAAATCTAAAACTGTACTAAAATAAAAATTCGCTCTGGCCAGCGTGGCTCAGTTGGTTGGAGCGTCATCCCATACACCAAAGGTGACGTGTTCAATTTCCGGTCAGGGCACAGACACAGGTTGAGGGTTCAATCCCCGGCCAAGGCACATGCGGGAGGCAACCAATCGGTTTCTCTTTCTCTCTCTAAAAAAATCAAAAAAAGATAAATTAAATAAATAAAAAAAACTCATCTGAGAAGTACAAACCAACGCCTCCACTAATGAGCCTCCAGCATGGCCACAGACGAACAGGTAATTATTTTCCAAGTGAGCTACACCTACATTTCAGGAACGAACATCACTGGACACCTCACTTCTAAGCATGTCCTGGGCACATCCCGCCCCCCAGGAGAAGAGGAGGTGACCCCTCTCCACAGTCCCCGGCCTTGAAGAACCCTTGCTATGGCTGCTGCCTTCCACCACTCACCACCACCTCCACGGGGCGGGGGCAGTGGGCCTGGGGATGAGCGAGGTGCAGGCTGAGAACAGGAGATGCTACTAATTTATTAATATCATCAAGAAGAGCCTTTGGGTTAGAAGATGAAGGAACTAAATTATTTCTCTCAACAAGAAAGAGCCCCAAACAACAATAACTTGTGATAACTCCACAGGGGCTACTTTAATCAGACAAGCGAAGGTCTACTGAGTGCCTGACATGAACTTGGGCCACTATTAGGCCTTGGCCACTGGTATTACCCCTGGGTAGAGCTTTATTTATTTATTTATTTGCGAATCCTCACCCAAGAATATTTTCCCATTGATTTTTAGATGGAGTAGGAGGAGAGAAGGGAGAGAAACATCAATGTGAGAGAGACACACTGAGTGGATGCCTCCTGAATGACCCTGACTGGGGCCGGGGATCAAGCCTGCAACTGAGGTACATGCCCTTGACTGAGAGTCTAACCTGAGACTCTCCAGTCGGGCCGACACTATAACCACTGAGCCAAACCAGCCAGGGCCCCTCAGTGTAGAGCTTTCATAGATAGTTCTGCCTACTTAAAATGCATCAAATAATCCTAGAAATGTTATATCATTTTTCCCTTTTCTGACAATACCAACCACTGTAAGTAATAACCATAGGCTGAACCCCAAAAGCTTTACACGCATCCGTTTTCACAGGAAAAACAGATGGACACACATACCATGCACACGTGATCCCTGGTGGCAGCATCCTTCACTTATGAAGAACAAAGACTTATTACCGAGCGTCCTAATAATCCAAAGCGTCAGACAAGCAGTTAATGTTATCTTGGTACTATTTTATGACAGTTTGCCCTTAACAGAGTCCAGCTATCCACGTGTATATAAATAAAGTAAACAAAGACTACTGAACTAAAAAAGTAAATACAATATCCAGCGGTAAAGGTGCCTATTAAAAACCACAGAGGAGCCCTGGCCGGTTTGGCTCAGTGGTTAGAGCGTTGACCTGCAGTCCAGAGAGACCCCGGTTCGGTTCCCGCTAAGGGCACATACCTCGGTTGCAGTTTGTCCCCGGCCTGGTTGGTCGTGCGGTGGCAGCCACTCAATGTGTCCCTTTCGCATCGATGTTTCTCTCTCTCTATCTCTTCCTCTCTCTCCCTCCCACTCTATCTGTACAAAAAATGGAAAAATGTCCTCAGGTGAGGATAAAAAAATAAAAAATAAAAATAAATAAATAAATAAAAACCACAGAGGAAGTCTAGAAACGAGAATGGAAAAAAAGTCTATTTTCCTGGGAAGAAGTGCAGGTTTGAAAATCTGACAGCTCGTGGAAATCACCTATAAAAGAATATGGCACTGGAGGCAACTTTCTAAATAAATATAGGTACAATGTAAGTTGTTTTCAATTAATAGTAACTCAGAATGACCAAAACTCTGAGGTGGCAATCTTTAGACATTCCATTTCTGGTCTCACAGTTAGAAACAAAGAAAAAGAGCCACACTAACAAGGAGGATCGAATTATACACCAATGAAGTGCTTTGCATCTTTTGATCTAGGATTTTGTTGCCCAATGTTAATACTATGTTTCTACTCTACATGGGGTCAAAAGATAACAATATAGGCCTCTAAGCTTTTACAGTGTTGACCTTATTAGAAACTGTAAGTTTAGAAATTAAATGTTACCATCTAATTTCCATAGGGATGTCAGGGAAACAGCATTAAGTCAAACTTCAGTAAGTTACAAATCAAAGCTTCCTGCTTCATATAAAGTTTTAAAAGTCTACATCCATAGAATGAAGAATAACTAGAAAACAAGACATATTTAGGATCTAAGATTACATAACTTTCACCACATTGCCGGTGTCCCTAGTTGCCTTTAGCATACATGATTAGTCATTAATGGCTTTTTGCATGTTATTGTCACCACGAGTCCACACATTTTTGGATGAAGTGACACAAATTAGAACTGTGCTTTCAGATTTCACACAAGCTAGAAGCAAGATAACAGCTTGCTACTCAAAAAAAAAAAAAAAGAAAGAAAGAAATAAGCATTTCTTTGCAGAGTAAAGAGAGATACAGGCTGGTAATAAAATCAGCAACTCCAAGGATATTGGTTCTGAGGGGAAAAAAACCACACACACAACCAGTAATGGCTCACAAGTCCTTAAAGGAGAAATGGGTGCAGAAATACTGTAAGGCCCCAAGTGTGCCACATGGCTGAGATGTATGCTGATGAGTTCTACTTATATGATCAAGAGCCTGGGACCCCAAATAAAGCAGAAGTGTGATGTTCTTATCACTCAACATGGCATAGAGTTTATGTTCTCAAACAAGTAAGGGTTTTCATATTTCCTCCCAATTACTGGGCCTCCACATAACACAAGGATTTATTATCCTGCATCGCTTCTCTATAATTCTCATAAGTTCTAGGGGAAAAACCAACAATTTTCATGAAATGGGGGTGAGGCAATCTTAGAATTCACTTATCCAGACCCAACTCAAAGTTTAAATCCGAGAATTATAAATGATGAGGTCTTGGCAACATTATCTTATGAATCCATGTCCGGCACTATCGTATCACTAGCCTCATGTCACTGCAAGAAATTTGCAAGAAAGATGATGATTATTCTACTCAAGAATGCCTCCATTTGAGAATAAAAAGAAAGGCTACAAGTCAGGTATGACATACACTTACGCAAACTTTACCTGACTTTTTAAGGAGAGTATATACTTCTTTGTTACCAGAGTTAAAAGTGAACAAAATAAAGAGATATTGTATGTGTCACAATTAAACAACTGTGACTGGCATCACTCCAGTTATAAAGAAAATAAGTACTGGCTATAGCATACTCAAGACACACCACTGAACAGCTCCAATTAAAATCAGTTATTTTCCCTATGTGATTATAAATCTATATCTGGTTATCAAATAAATCAGGCGTTTGTTTATCTATTTTTTTTCTTTCAAAACTATGTGATTGACAATAGAATGAGTACAAAATTTAACTACCAGGCTGAAAAAAATAAACCACGTAACGGGCCATGTTGGTGAGTAAGTACCCAAATGAAACATTTTACACACGCGTGCAATAATCTAGACGAACTATTTTCAATCATGCTAACATTAGGAACAAAATGGACAATTTATATATATTCCCTAATCTTGGAAAACCATTAAAAACTGAGAGCATCAAGGAAATCTCATGTAAGCAATGAGAATGAACTGGCCACAGACTCACTTCCTTATCATGTCAGGTGATCACATCTCTCAGAAATAAAAACACGCTAGAGTTCATTCTAAAGCAGAAAAAATATTTAACTGGAAGGCCTGAACAGAAATACACACTTCATTTTTACCTTAAAAACATACTTCAGCCCTGGTTGGTTTGGCGCAGCGGGTAGAACGTCAGCTCGCGGATCAAAGGTCTTGGGTTCACAGTTTCTGGTCAAGGGCACGTACCTGGGTTGCAGATTCCATCCCTGGCCCCGCTTGGGGTCATGCGGGAGGCAACCAATCGATGTGTCCCTCTCACATCGATGTTTCTCTCTTTCTCCTTCCCTCCCTTCCACTCTATCTAAAAATCAACGGAAAAGTATCCCTGGGTGAGAATTAACAACAACTTAAAAAACATACTTCAAAATATTTTAGCATTATTTTTTTAGAAGTCCTAACTCATTAGGCATCTCTCAGGTGATTCACATACTTAAAAAATAAAAACTGCCTTTAACTTCATACACTTCTGCCTAGCTTTTAATGAAATGGACCCTATGTACACTTACAAAGGCTGCCCTAAATGTTCACCACAGAACAGTCACTGGCAGAAACTGATTCTAAACCCTGTTCCACAGTCTACACTCTCTCTTTGGTTTCTGCTTACAGGTCTCAAGACTATGCAAACCCCCGGAGCCTCGGTTGTGGTTTGTCCCTGGCCCCACTTGGGGTTGTGCGGGTGGCAACCGATGGATGTGTCCCTCTCACATCGATGTTTCTCCCTCTCTCCCTCTCCCTCTGTCTGAAGATAAATGTAAAAATATCCTTGGGTGAGGATTAAAAAAAAGAAAAGGTATCTTTAGCTACGTCTTGACAATTACAAGAATTAAGAGAGACGTTAATTTCTTTTTGTGGAAGGCAGAAAGTCCAGAGGAACAGAGTAAATCAAAGATCTCCTAACAACTTCTGCTATTTTAAGTACTTCTTTGTACTTAAAATTCCCTGAACAGTCTGAGATATTAAAATAACTGAGATGAACAAGTCACTTCATACTCGAGTTATTGGATGTTAGAAAAGCCATTCACTCGGCTAATTTCTGAATTAACATTATGATTTCCCTGATCATATCCCCTCTTCAGGAATTACGTGAATGTCCTAAACTTACCTTTAGTGCCTTTTCAGACAGCGACGAAATACAGCAGCAGAAATGTGATCACATGAATTAGATGCTTACATTTCAATCTAACACATTATCTGTGAGGGTTTTAAAAGGAGAAATCTCATTTATGAAGAGGGCAAACAGAAAGCCCTAGATTCTAAACACACCAAAACATTACTTTGTTTTTAAGTTCTTGAGTATCAAAATGATTAACGAGGTATTATGTTGTTTTATAAGTTCGAGAAAATCTGAGGTGTAACAACTATTATCATTTTACAACAGTTTCAGAGCCCAGCCACATCTGTCACACAGAAAAACGCAAAAGCCTGAAAAGTTAATTACACGAAGAGCTTCAGGGGCGAATATTGCTTTTACTGCTTTTACGCGACTCAGACTATCAAGGTACAAAGACTCACTTTTTTTAAACCAGGAAAAAGTCACATTATTTTCTGAAACTCCTAAATTTCACACTATTACTGTATCTTCCTCTACCAAACCCTTGTGGGTTAGATAACTCGAAAGATTTTCTGATGGAGGTAGAAGAAAGGGGATAGGAAGGAGTAAGGGGAAAACAGAAAACTGTGGTTTAATTAAAAAGTGGAGTCATTCAGAATTAACAAGCAATTAACAAGGAATCAAGAAATTCCTAGGAGAAGAAGGGGGCAGGGCTACCAAAAGGTCTCTGAGTCTCAGAGCAAGGTAAATGGTACAGTTACTAGAAGATAAGGCAAAACACGGAAACACTCGACTGAGAGAAAGGGGTGGGGTGGGGGGATAGTTTGAGGGAGTAGAAAAGTTACTGAAATGTTAAGGAGCAGGAGGCAAAAGCCGTGTTTTCGTTTTTTTGCTGGGAAACTGGGGTCCAGGGAAGCGTTGCACCGAAACCAGGTAACCACCCAGAAAATAGAGCACCGCTTTAGGAACTAGGGGCCAGAAATAAACAATGGGGGAGGGGAGGGCTGACTTCGTACCTTCACGGAGGATGCTGGTCAGGGGCTCGCTGCTGCTTCTCGGGTGGGTGGGCAGGCCTCCTGGTGCTCTCTGGACTCCCCTGGCCAACTCCGACCTGGAAATCAGAAACCAGTGAGAGGTGGGTGCGCCTGGGGCGGGGAGCAGGCGGGGGCTCTGAGTCAGGGGAGCCCAGGGAGGGAGTGGAAAGGGCAGGCAGGAAGGTGCAGTGATTTTCCTCCCGACCAGCCGCCCCCTTCCCATTAGGGGAGGTAACTGACTTTACCTGTCTCCTCAGCTGCTGCTTCTCGGCGTCCTTTCAGCCTCGTCCACACTCACCAACTTCTCCATTGAAGAAATACCCCGGGCAGGGCCCGGCACGGGTGTTCCGGAGCCTGCTCGGTGCCGCACGGCCCCAGCCCGGGAGCATCCACACAGCCGAGCAGACGCTGGGCGGCGGTCCTGGCCGCGGGGCAGCCTCGGGGCAGGGGTGCAGGGAGGAAGTCCCGACTGGGGGCGGGGGGGCAGTCCCGGTCTCAGGGCTCGGAGCAGGGGGCTGCCGCGCTCCGGGCCGGAGGCTCCGAGGTGCGCGGGGGACGCGGGAGCTGGCGGGGCAGCGAGGTCTCGGGCTGTGTAGGGTCCTAAGTGCCAGCGGCGGGGGCTCCAGGCAGGGGGCTTTCTGGATGCACTTTGCACTGGGCCACCCCCGCCCCCTCCCTCCAGCACTTTGGGGTCACTGGGATGGGACCAAGCCTTCAGCAGCCAATCAGCGGCCGCACTAGAGCCCGAGCCCAGAGCCGTAAACCAAGTCCGGGGTGGGTGGGGGGTGGGGGGGTGGGGGCGACTTGGTTGGCTGCTTGCTTCCTTCTCTCCTCCTTATCCCTAGCAGCCCCACCCCTTTGCCTGCCGTAAAGCCGACTGCGCATTCGCGACAGTTAGGAGAGGCGTGCCGAGGGAACCTGGGACTCGTCTCCGATTGGCCTCTCTCGGCTTCCCCGCGGTGGCTTCCAACGCCCCGCCCCCTCGTAGCGGAGGGACTCACAGCGGTTGCTAAGAGACACTGCACGCCGATGGGGCCTCTGCGCATGCGGAGGGCGGAGCCGGCTGGTACTTTCCGTGAATACGGTGGCCCGGAGGGGGCCGGGGGTCGCTGGCATGGTGGTGCGGAGGTGGCGCGGCTGGAGCGAGGTCCCTTGACAGTAACCGGGAGCGGCTGCTGAGCTCGGCGGCCTCCTGAGAGCCTGGCCCGAGGGTTCAAGGTCAGGGAGGCGGCGATCCAGGCAGCGAAGAGTGGGGCGCCTTGCCCCACCGCCCCGCGGCGCTTTCCAGCCCCGAGCGCCGGCTCCTCGACTCGGCTCGTCCCTTAGGCCGCGTACGCACCAGGCTGAGCGCTTTCTCCGAGGCCGCTGACGCTCCAAGGCTTTTCCGCAGGGATAGCGACCGTCCCGGGTCCCCTGTGAATGAAGGGGGAAAAGAGAACAGAAAACGTGCGAGGCTGCATGTTGACGAAGTGCATTTATTTATTCGTGCAGCAGCAGGTGTGGACTGGCCGGCGGCACCGTCCTGGCCGTTAGAGAAACGACAGTGAACAAGGTAGATGCATCTACTTGGCCTTTGGAGCTTTCCCATGAACAGGGGAGACCGAAAAACACAGAGTGCGCAGATTCGGATGGAGCATCTAAGGAACCCAAGCAGAATAACGGCATCGGGTTTGACTGGGGACGTGGTGGGTATTTTAGGTAGGGAGCCGGGAAAGGTCTCTGCGGGGGTGACAACAGAGCAACGATCTGAATGAGGGGGAGCTTGCCTTGCTGAGGGGGGGGGGTTGCAGGCAGAGAGAACCGCAGTGCAGAGACTTGGTGCTGAAATAACCTGTGCTGTTTACAGGAACTGCAAGAAAGGTCAGTGCAGTCCAGCAGAGAAGAGGGAATGGTTGGGAATGAGGTTGGGGGTGTGGGACAGGCTGCAGACCTTGCGGGACCTTGTAGGCCACGGTGGGGGAAGCTGTTGTATCTTATTAATGCTTTGTTGTTGTTGCTATTAATCCTCACCTGAGGATATTTTTCCATTGACTTTTAGAGGAAGAGGGAGGGAGAAAGGGGGGAGCGAGACACACCATTTGGTTGCCTCCCCCACAACCCCGACCAAGGCCTGGGACTGAACCTGATTGACCAGGAATGGAACCCGTAACCCCCTGGGCCACAGGCCAGTGCTCTAACCACTGGGAAAATCCGGCCAGAGCTTATTTATGTTTTGCAAAGATCGTTGAATGCTGGACAGAGAAGACTAACTGGGAGTCATTTTACTGCAAATACAGAAGGCTATATTGTCTGGGCAAGAGTCGACATTTTAAACTGTCGCCCAGAACACTAGTCATTGGGCTACCACCAATGTCCTCATAGAAAGACCTACCTAATTATATTAAAAAAGTAATTTCAATATATCAACTTCTTTTATGTAAGAAACTATATTAAGATGTATTATGGCAGGTATTGGCCACTACAAACCCTTTCAGTTTGCCCCTTGACATTTTCTTTTGTTTTCATTGAGTCAAGAAGACTCATTTTGGTGCCTTCCACATGAGTTACCTATCGGCCTTGTATAGGCAAACTGGGCTTAGTCCTGCCCAAGGAAGCTCATAGTCAAGTGTGAACCAAACTGGAAAATAGTTATGGACAGTGCAGTGAGCTACATACTGTGGTATAGGCCGAGACAGCGTTCGGCAGGGACCGCAACCCTGACTTGGGTATATTGAAGGCCTTTATCTTCTTCCGCAGCCTGTGAAGGCTGCGGTGATGGCATTGGGGATGGGGAGGACTGGGTGAGGACGGGTCCCAGGAGATGTCTAGGTTTCTAGTTTGGGTCACTAGAAGATAAAGGTGACTTCCCGGAGACTGGAAGTTTCCAAGTTGAAGGCTGAGCATGGAAAGGGGAAAACTGAGTATGAGTTAGTCAAAAAGAATGGGCTCTGCAAAGCTTGGGAATCCTTTAAGTACGCAGAGTTTCTGAAGAACTCAGAGCAAGCCTGCAACTTAGTTTGTGGGGCACTGAGGTGAGAAGATCCCAGTGGTCAGATCTTGAAGGGCTTGCTAAGCCATATTCAGGGGTTTGGACATGATCCTAAGCAAAGAGATTTTTCAGAAGGAAGGGGGCGTAGGGTAGGGCAAGAAACAACCACTTAGCAAAGCAGCTATTGCGGTTGTCCACGCGGGACGTGGCAGGCTGCGGTGATGGCATTGGGGATGGAGAGGACTGGGTGAGGACGGGTCCCAGGAGATGTCTAGGTTTCTAGTTTGGGTCACTAGAAGATAAAGGTGCCATATACTAAGACATGGGGAGTATAGTGGAAACCAAGTTTAAGGGGCCGTAGAATGAGTTGAGTTTGTGCTAAGGATGCCTGTAGGGCTGCCACGTGGAGCTCTCCAGTGGCCTTTAGAGGTGAGTGTAGAGCCCAGAAGAGAGCTTAGAACCCTGATTGTGGACAGTGGAGTTGTTGGCTGCAGATTATTGTAATATTGTAACACAGTGTGGAATCAGGAAGTGCGATACTTTCAGCCTTGTTCTTGTCTCAAGATTGCTTTGACTATTCAGGGTCTTTTGTGGTTCCATAGAAATGTCAGGGTTGTTTGCTCTACTACTAAAAATATGCCATTGGAATTTTGATAGGGATCGCATTGAATCTGTAGATTGCTTTAGGTAGAATGGACATTTGAACACTATTGACTTCTCCTATCCATGATCATAGAATACCTTTCCATTTGTTTGTGTCTTCTTTAGTTAGTTTCATTAAAATCTTGGTCTATACAGTATAGGTCTTTACCACTTTGGTTAAATTTATTCATAGGAATTGTTATTCTTTCTGGTGCACTAATAGATTGATTTCTTGATTTGTTATTAGTATGTAAAATGCAACAGATTTTTGTATATTGATTTCATATCCTGCAACATTACTGAATTTGTTTAGTAGTCCTAACAGCTTTTTGGGGAGTCTTTGGGGGTTTTTATATCTATAATACGTCATCTGCATATAGTGAGAATTTTACTTTTTTCTTTTCAGTTTGGTTTGCTTTTGTTTCTTTGTCTTACCAGATTGCTCTGGCTAGGACTGCCAATACTATGCTGAGTAAAAGTGACAAGTTTGGGCACACTCATCTTGTTCCTGTTCTTAGATGAAAACCTTTCAGTTTTTCACCATTGAGTATGATGTTAGCAGCGGACTTGTTGTATGTGGTCTTTATTGAAGTATGTTCCTTTTATATTCACTTTGTTGAGAATTTTTATCAAAAATAGATGTTGACTTTTCTCAAATGCTTTTTCTGCATTTATTGAGAGGATCATACGGTTGTTGTTTTTCTTTATTGATGTTAGAGAGAAAGAGGAAGGGAGAGGGAGATAGAAACATCAGTGAAAGAGAGCATCCATTGGCCGCCTCCTGTGTGCCCCCCACTGGGGATTTGGCCCACAAGCTGAGCATGTGCCCTGACCAGAATCGAACCAGTGACCTCTTGCTGCATGGGTCGACACTCAACCACTGAGCCACACTGGCCGGGCTGATCACATGGTTTTTACCCTTCATTTTGTTAATGTGGTATATCACGTTGACCAATTGGCCAACGTTGACTAGTTTTCAGACTTTGAACCACCTTTGCATCCCTGGAATAGATCCCACTTGATCATGGTATATATTCCTTTTAACGTATTACTGAATTTGATGTGCTAATATTTTGTTAAGGATTTTTTTTTTTACTTATGTTCATCAGTGATATTGGCCTGTAATTTCCAACGTGTTCATTGATTTTTTTAGAGAAAGAAGGAGGGAGGGGGAGAGAAAGATAGAGACATAGATGTGGGAAGGAAACATTAATTGATTGCCTCTGGTGTGGACCCTAACTGGGGATCGAACCTGCAACCTTTTGGTGTATGGGACTATGTTCCAACCAACTGAGCCACCCTGCCAGGGCTGATCTTCTTTTATTGTGGTGACTTGTCTGGTTTTGGTATCAGGGTAATGCTGACCTCGTAAAAGGAGTTTAGAAGTGTACTCCTTTGTTTGTTTTGGAGAGTTTGAGAAGGATTGGTGTTAGTTCCTCTTTAAATGCTTGGTAGGTTTCACACTGAAGCCATCTAGTCCTGGGCGGTTGAGTGATGGGAAGTTTTTGATTACTGATTCAGTCTTCGAAGTATAATCTGTTCAGATTTTCTATTTCTTTATGATTCAGTCTTGGTAGGTTATATGTTTCTAGGAATATATTTCTTCTAGGTTGTCCATATGGTGGCATAGAAAATTATATTCAAGCTTAAAACAAAAGGAAAAGTGGATGATGAGCTTTCTAGGCAGAGGGGAAGCATTTTATCAAGATCCGGAATCAGGAAGGAACCATTCAAGTGACTAAATACAGGAGTTTGGCATCCCTGCACCTGTACCCGGTGTTTTGTGGTTGTCCCTGTCTTAACTTGCCGTCCCCTTTAAAATGGGGAGGAATATTGTTGTTGTTTTTTCTCAGAATAAACCGTGTTAATTTATTTTTTAGAAGCAACTCTCACCCTAGATAGAAGTGCAAAGGAAGTGTGTGGGGCAGGCAGGTTCTGGAGTCCGTCCTGCTGTGTGTCGTCCTGCCCAGCAGAGCCAGCTGGGCATGGGCAATGCTGGCAGATGGGCCCTGGGGATCGCTGCAGGGACGCTCACACTTAACTGAGCCCTGCCAGCACCCTGTGACCTGCCTGGGTCCTCTCGCTATGCCTCGAGCACAGAACCGAGGCTCGGAGGGTTGCGAGCCCCGTGCTGACCCTGATGTGTTCGCATTTGACTCTTGGTCCTAGAGCTCGGGCTCCTAATGAACAGAAAAGCACTTAACAGTCACCTTCGTCGCCTATTTTAAGGCTTTTATCTGTTGCTTAATGATCAGGCTTTTTCTTCATGCTAAGAAAAAACTAAAAGTCCTGACCTGTATCGGAGGTCCACACATGAGAGTTTAATAAGAGGACAGTTTACAAATGCCTGGCAGGTATTAAGTGTTCTCCGTGATTCAGCAGTAACCTGGAAGCTTGTTAGAAATAAAAAATATTGGGCCCTGTCCCAGCACGACTGTAACTGAAATTCCTGGGGTAAGGCCCTGCCGTCTTCCAAGTGATTCCCAGGCAGCTGCAACTGAATACCATTGTTTTAAGGAAATGAGCCAGGGATGTTGTGCCCCCGGGGCTAGTAACCGCCAGTGCCCTGTCTAGGCCCAGAGGCAAACAGAAGGAGCAGTTCCTGAAACTTGGAAGAGCTGCCTGCCTTTTCCCATCCTCTCCTCCCCACCCCACCCCACCTCTGTGGGAGCCTGCCAGGCTGGGAGAAAGACGAAGAGTATAACTAGCAGCCCACAGGGAAGGCACTCAGCACAGGGCACGCTGTTGGAAGACAGGGAGGTGCTGTGGGAAGTAAGGAGGGAGGTGCTGTGGAAATCATAGCTGAGTGGCCCTGGTGGCAGACAAGACGATGCTGGGAACTTCTGTGCTTGGTTTCTGGGCCTTCTCAGTGCTTAACCACCCTCATTGGCCTCCCCTAACCTTGGCGCTGACATCCACGCCTCCCCCACCTCCCTAAACTTGCGGTAGAGTCTAATCAGACCCGTTGTATTTCTTCTGACAAAAGTGGGTGCTATCCCAACTGGGGGAGGGAACCCGAAACCTAGAAGACGGGCTCTGTGCGGAGCACCTCAGTGTCGCCTGGGGAATCTCAGC